AGGACATATTTCTTTCCACTTAGACTTATTGGTGTAACAGGGCCAAATAAGTCCATGTGAATAAGACTTAATATCCTTGTAGTTGAGGGTGCCGGTTTTGCCTTGAAAGTAGACTTGACTTGCTTTCCTTTCTGGCAAGCATCACAAATGCTTTCCTTCCTGAATACAGTTTTGGGAAGACCTTCTACTAACCCTTCTTTGGACAACTTGTTGAGAGTTTTGAAGTTGAGATGACTCAACCTCTTATGCCAAAGCCATAGAAGGTTAGTGTCACCTTTGCTGATTAGACATGCTTCCTTGACATCGTCCCATATTACTTCATAGATGTTTCTGATTCTTTTCCCAGTGAGAATGACTTCATTTGTGGAGATGTTCTTGAGAGATGCCATGTCCTTGCAGAATTCCAAGGAGTAACCTTTATCACAAAACTGACTTATGCTAAGAAGGTTATAATTGAGACCTTCAACATAAGATACAGCTTGGATGGTTAGTCCCTTGTACACCAGATTTCCTAGCCCTTTAGTCAGGCCAAAATCATTGCTTCCTCCAAAAGTAACTCTTAGACCATCATAGGGAATTAGATTGCTCAAAAGGCTCGCATCACCCGTCATGTGTCTTGAACAGCCACTGTCTAAGTACCAGACACCTGGGTACTTAGCGGCTCTCTGCATTAGGAGGAGGAAGATTTTGGTACCCAATTCAGTTTGGGTCCGGAATAGTTAATGGTGTGTGTCCCTACATCAAGTTTGAAGTTGCAGGGAATTTTCCTTGCAGCCCTAAACTTGTTGGGATTGTAATCATAGTTGTAGGCATAAAACTTCCTATGTGTAGGAGGTGCAATTTCCTGTTTCCTCCTAGCAAACCTAGGTTGGTGAGACCTATAGTTTTGTCTAGGTTGTGCATAGTGTGACCTGTGACGGTTGTAAGCATACTTAGGTGGCACAAATAGTTTCTGGGGTGGATGACGACTATATCTTGGCATAGTTCTCCACTCAGAATTTCTTGGAAAACTCCTATCTACCACATAATGAGTTTAGCCTTGTGTATAGTAGGGGATAGAAGGTTTTCTTCTGAGATTATTTCTTCATTGAGGTCTGTCCATCTTCCTATAGTTCTTAGGAGGGACTACCTTTTTGGGAACTTCTGTTGGCTTCTCCTTTTCCTTTCCTTTCTGCTTATTTGGTTTGGCAGTAGGTTTAGGAGGGATGAAAGTTGTTCTCCCTTTCCTTTTGGAACTAAAGGGGTCAAACCCAAGTCCTTCACGACCCTTATGTTTGGTCGTTTCAAGAAGCTTATCCACTGCTTCTTTGGACTTAAGTATCCCTAGCTCCTTGTTAAGGGATTTCACCTTTTCAGAGAGAGATTCATTTTCAGTCTTGAGTTGAGTGATCTCATCCAGTTGACTTTTCCGACTTTCAGTCAACTTGAGATTCTCTTCACTCAATAGTTTGTTCTCCTCTGTTAAGGATGAATGTTTGAGATTTATTTCCTCAAAATCTTCCATCATCTTTTTGAACTGGTCAAAAAGATTTTCAAAAGTTGATATGCTTTCATAAGAAGATGAGCAGGAGGTTTGTGAAGTTACCTCTTGATCAGCATCATCTTTGGCCATTAGACAGAGAGTGTCATCTTCTGACATAGTCCACTTATCTTCATGGTTGGACTTCTCAGCTCTGCGCTCCATGCAGACGAGGGCTTCTTCATCTGAACTTGATCTAGGTGACTCGTCACTTTCAGCAGCAACCATTGCCTTCTTTTTCTTCTCGTTCCTTTCTCTTTCTCCGTACTTCTCCACCTTTGGGTACGGGCATGCTGACTTCCAGTGGCCAGGCTTCCTGCAGTTATAACATAAATAAGATTCAGGAGGGGAGTCACTTACCTGTGGCTTTCCCTTGGATGGCCTTCTGACTTAGTCAGCCTTTTTGAAGAACTTCTTGAACTTCCGGAATTGCTTGACCATCATGGCAAATTCCTCATCGCAGTTCTCTATTTTTGAGCTTGACGGCTAACTAGAGGAAGATGTGTCACAGTTCCTTGGGCATGTCCCTTCACTTGATGGGACTTTTGGAGTCGTCATCAATGCCGTAGGGAAGGGAGTGACCTGTTCTTCCTTCTTTTTCTTCAGCTCGTGCTCATAGGTTCTGAGCTCATCAAGGAGACCTTGGACAGTGTAGTTCTCCAGATTTCTTCCTTCTTCCATGGCTGTGGCTTTGGTGTACCACTCAATTGGAAGTGATCTCAGTAACCTCACATTCTTTTCCTTGGGAGAGAGAACGTGGTTAAGTGATGCAAGATCATTCAAGATTTTGTGGAATCTTTCATCCAACATATCAAATGATTCTCCGGGAAGCATTTTGAAGCTTTTGAACTTCTCAAGCAGGACTTCTATCTTCTGCTTTCTCAAGTCCTCTGATCCCTCACATAGCTTCCCAAGACCTTGCCTAATCTCCATGGCAGTCTTGAGATGCTTGATCTTGGAGAAGGTGATGGGATCAAGTGTCTTAAAGATGGCTGCTTTGGCGACGTTGTCCAGATTATGCTTTTTGCAATCTCTATCATCCCATTTTTCTTTGGGCTTTGGAATGTACTGGACTACATCTAGAGTTTCTGCAGGATTCTCCATTTGAATTTTCAAGGGTCCATCCTCAAGCACCATCCACATGCAATCATGTAGAGCGTAGAGATGTGCATCCATCATTATCTTCCAATCATCATAACCTAGAAGAGAGAACTTGGGCAAACCGTGATCCATATTGTTCACCATTATGATCGCTCCTCGTTAATCTAAATGTAGATAGTGAGAAGTTTGCTCTGATACTAATTGGTGGTCCCAAAGTGGTGAGATACAAAGTCTAGAAGGGGGGGGTGAATAGAGTTTGTTACAAATTTAAAAACTTTTTCGTTTCTTTTGAAAACGTGAAAGTGAGTGTTAATCTAGAGTTCTTGTGAACTTTAGATTGTGTGCGGAATTTGGAGGGTAGAGTGAGCAGTAATCAATATGGATGGGTTAGTTTTCACAGCTAATATAATTTCAAGTAAGAATAAAGATAAAAGAGAGAGACACACAAACTTTAAGGAGGTTCAAAGGTGGGGTAATCCTTCTACATCCTCAAAATCCACTATGTGGTTGGTTGATGAATAATAGACCAACAATTACACTTGTGTGAATTTCTGCACGGTATATCTTCGCAAGGCCAATGTTGCTACTGCACTCGTGCTGGCTTTGTTGTTCCTTCGAAGGTCACGCTTCTTCAACAACTGCAAGGTCCGAACAATAGGACTTGCAAGATCAACTTGTAAGAAAGTTGACCTACCCCCTTTCAATCAAGAAGTTTGATCAAAAGTTATACCCTTCAACGTGGTGTGGTACTTGAGGCAAGGAAACCTTCAAGTGTTTACACTATAGCTCTTTGGAAGGAGGAGAAGTTTGCTTCTGGATAAGGAGTTTAGAAATCTCTCTTTATCAAGCTTTTTGGGCTAACTGTGAGTGAGATAGCTTTGTTGTTAGAGATTGCTTCGTTGTGGTTTTTCTATCTCATGGGTTGTATATCCTTCT